GGAAACTTAACTAACAAAGCCCAGCTGTGATCTAAGTAAAACACACACTTCCCAACTGGCATGTAAAGAGCTTGTCCCGTGATGAAGATGGACAATTCCTAGGAAATTTTACAAGCTTTTTTTTTTTGGATGTTTTAAAGATTTATTTATTTATTGGAAAGTCAGATATACAGAGAGAAGGAGGAGAGACAGACAAGAAGAATTCCTAGGAAATTTTACAAGCTTTTTTTTTGGATGTTTCAAAGATTTATTTATTTATTGGAAAGTCAGATATACAGAGGAGGAGAGACAGAGAGGAAGATCTTCCGTCCGATGATTCACTCCCCAAGTGAGTGCAACGACCGATGCTATGCCGATCCGAAGCCAGAATCCGGAACTTGTTCCAGGTATCCCACACAGGTGCAGGGTCCCAAAGCTTTGGGCCATCCTCAACTGCTTTCCCAGGCCTCAAGCAGGGAGCTGGATGGGAAGCGGGGCCACCAGAATTAGAACTGGCACCCACATGGGATCCCAGGGCATTCAAGGCGAGGACTTTAGCCACTAGGCCATGCCGCCGGGCCCTTTACAAGCTTTTAAAATGGAATCTTAGGTGATAATTAGGTATCCAGCGGACATCCTTGAACCCAAGTTACCAATGCACCTGCATTATCTACCTGGCTTTCAGTCTAACAACCCACAGCAACAATAATCTAATCCGCACCAACAGTCCCTAAGTCTAGAAAGTCACTGCGATCTTGGCCAGGCCAAGTTCCTAGCCAAGCAGTGTCATGTCAGCATGACAGGTGATTTCTTCAAGACCAGCAGCAGGCTCTCTGAGCTGAGGGGCTGAGGTCTTCAGTGCTACAACAACCAGGAACTGAATTCAACAGGTAAACAGTGAACTGTGGAAAGATCTGTGTCTCAGATGACAGAACTGTCCCAGCCTTGGGAGACCCAGGGATGAGAGCCCAGCTGAGCCAGGCATACTCTGCTGGAACTGTGAGATTCCAGCAAATGTTGCTTTCACCTGCTCCAGGTGTGGTCACGGTTTCCAGGGCCACTGAACATTAACACGGATGTTGGCACTCGGAAGTGACAAGCTTCTCTAACAAGTGTCTCCAACATGGGAGAAGGTGGGAGAAATTTTGAGGCTGTTGCATTTCCTTGGGCAAATTTTTCTATGGAAATATGGATGTTGAGACTGCTGCTAGCAAGCACACTGAAGAAAGTGAGGAACGGTGATTCCAGAGGCTGGAATAAGGGGCACCTCGCGATGCTGAAGATGTGCCCAGGTTCCTCTTGCTGGTTATAAGCAAAAACTGGAGAGGAGGGCGATGAGGAGAGGAAAAGTTTTTTTTTTCACTGAGTCAGGACTAAATTATTTAGGGACATTTCAGCCCTCCAGGTGGCAAAAGATGCTGATACATCAAAATGAGTACAGAAAGCCTGGGCCAGGAAAAAAAAAAAGCTGCACGATTCTATCAACTTTTGCAAAAAGCCTCACACAGGTGATAAAGCCAGAATCTTAAGACACACACATGGCACCTGCAGGAGGTATGTGCACCTCACAGTCTGCTCCATGAGCCCCGGACAGCAGAGGAGAAGGCCACACCCCTCTGGCATCTCAGCAGGAGCAGAACGCAGTGCAGGCGTGGGCTGGGAAAGATCTGAACTGTGGCTGCTGTCTGGGGGAATGAAAGGCAGTGATACCCTTGTGAAACCTTCAAAGTCGGTGAGAAAATGATGCCAGCAGAAACATGGCCCAGTGCGGGCCAAACAGGAAAGAAAGAAGGCAGTGAAAGGCCCAACATCCTACCTGCAGGAAGTAGGCTGACAAAACTACTCAGCCGAACACGGAGCAGATACCTACAGCTGAACAGGCCAACTCCATGGGGGGAAGGAAGCTCAGCCGGCCTCCAGGACCACCCCATCCTAGAGGTTAGACTTTATGACCCGCACAGGCGAAGCCCCTCAGGCTGCCCGTTGGCGCACCCTTATGGTTAGAGGGTCATGATTTACAGGGGGATGATGGGATCACACAGGAGGTAGTGAGAGATGAGGAGAGCTAGGAATTATAGCTGAGGGGCTGCCATAGATAAGTCCACAACATGTGTATGTAAGTAGGGGACTGACACCAAATTGGTTTGGAGGGGAGAACAAGAGTGAGGGAAGTGGATCTGATAGAATCTGTGGGGGAAATGTAGGCTCAGCCCTGTGGAACTGCAATTTTTGCTGGTTCGCCCAAGAATGGCAAATAGTGTTAGGCCTTGCTAGGGAGCTGAGGGGACACCCCAGCTGGGCTGGGGTTCCTACTGGTGAGAACGAGAGTAGGATTGAAGGCAGCAGGTGGGCTGTACATGGCTACAAACTGCACTGGCACGGGTGTGCACTGGGACTGTGGAATGACAGATTGGGCTTGACTTTAGCACCCACTGGTACTTGTGAGAGCCAGGTTGGGTGTACAACAGGCCAGATTAGGTCTTGCCTCCTGCTCAACTAAGTGAAAGCTGTGTCTGAGTGCGGACCAGGTATCACCGGGCAGCAACACCCAACAACAAGAACCAGATGGGTGTGGCCAGCTGAACAAAGCCACTATTCTTGTCAGGACAGAAGTCAACCTGGGCCTATGACCCACTGATGTATGCAAGAACGGCCACTGGGAGGAGACTCGATGGAGGAGCTTGGGAAACTCCTTCATTGGGATGCAGCCACTGCAGGTGAGCACAAGAAGCAAGGCAAGGAGCAATTTAGACCACACCAGGTTACAGTACCCGCCGGCATACATGTGGATGAGGTTTGGGAACAGACCAGTCTGGGCCAGCACATAACACCCCCTGGCAGATCTGAGAACCAGGGCAGGAGCTAGGAGTAGCCAGATTTGAATACAGCACTAGCCAGTTCTCATTAAGACTAGGACAGCAAACAGGCTGGGCAGAGATGGGCTGCAGCACCCACCAACAGGAGCTGGAACAGGGGGCACAATAGACTAGGCCAGACTCTGCAATAAGGCTGTGAATGCTGAAGTGAAGTCTCTGGGACCTGGAAGCTGTGCACTGCTCCATTACTCCCCAAGTTTCCTAAGCTGCCTCATCCGTGTCCCTGGATCCCCACACCCAGACCCCAGTGCTCCTGTTTGGGCTCTGCTGTACAGCAGCTGTCTCAGCAGAAATGGACTGATCATAGGTCAGGCAGAGCCATGCGGGTGACTGTCAGGATAAACAAGTCCTCTGTGAGGACACCAAGTTACTGGTTGGATATCAGGATAAAGAAGTGTCCCAAAAAAGGCACGATGTAAACACCTAGACCTAAACCTGGGGCCTCATCAGGACAGGGGCCCCATCAGGACAGGACTTGATTTCTCTCCTGAGAGGCATCAAGACAAGTCAGAGGGAGCTGCAGTGAAGTCCCAGGAGGTGGGACACTGTGCCACTGCCCAGCTGACCTCTAGGAGCAGATATGACTTCCAGTAGGGCAGGTGAACTCTCCTGTCTGCCTGCACTCTGCAGGCACCTCACACCCCTTCCTCAGGTGCACCCTGCAGAATAAGGACTCCTGAGTTCACAGGTTTCATTTCCATGGCAACAGGACAAAGGCTGGGTCCCGTGGTTCCCTGCCTGGATGGGAAAGCTGAGCTGAGTTGCCAGGAGTCCCTTCCTGCCTACCTTATACCAAGTCACCTGATTATGTAATATCTGCTTTGGCAGAAACACCCAAGGATACTCTGGTGTCCCATGCTTTACAAGGTGCATTTCTGAACAAAGAAACTAAAGCTGGGTGACTGATGCAGGCTGTGAGCCAGGGAGAAGACAGCGGCTTCTCATGCTGTGAGTCAGCCTTACAACCCTGCTCCCACTGACAGCGGACCCAAGCAGCCTCCGTTACAGTCAGGGAATGCAGCGTAGCAGATGTGCGTTGGGTGAATACAACCAGGGCACCTGTTACACAGACCTCTCCGGGGGAGGGGGGAGTGTCTAAACAGACCTGAGACCTCAGGGTCCCCCACATCTGTTGCACAAGCACTGTCTTTTTTCCTCTGGTGGCCTGCACTTGAAGACCAGAAGTTCACATTCTCATGTTTTCTGTAATTGTCCACACTGACTTCCCTACAGCTGCCAAGACCTTGGCAGAGCTGGTATCGGGCCCAAGTCACAATGTCTGGGAGCAGGTGGCCAGGAAATTGACCCTGATCTCAGATGGCCAACCCCTAACGGACATGTTTGGGATGCGAGATTCATGTAGAACCATCCATCTCTCGGTGATACTGCTCGATGAGGACAAGCGTCCATGACAGGAACAAGCTTCCAAGCCGCCCCAAGCCAAGGGCCGCAGGGGAGCTGGGAAGCCGCATGCGCTCATGAGTATGGGAGGCCCCTGTGCCCTGGATCGCAGTGCTGCTCTGAGATTCCCACTTCAGCTAGTCCTCTTCGGCTAATGTGAGCATGTCAAGCGTTTGGTTGCGGCAGTAACACGTAAGCAGAACTCTTCTTTTGTAAATCTATCTTGGCTAACCCAATGACTGGAAGGGATTCCAGTGTCTACCTCTCCATACTTAGAAAACTCTAACCTAACATGGGGAGCATGACCAGTTTATGGCAAGCATTTCCCAGCGCCCTCAGTTCTTCCCTTGCAAATGTCTTTCACCATGGGGCTGGTTTTGTGGCACAGCAGGTAAAGCTACCATCTGGACCAGGAGCATCCCACATCCCACCTGTTCATGTCCTGGTTGCTCCACTTCCCATCCAGCTTCCTGCTAATATACCTGGGAAATCAGTGGAGGATGGTCCAAGTGCCTGGTTCCTGTCCCCACGTGGGAGACCTGGAAGAAGCTCCTGTCCACTGGCTTGTAGTGATCTGGGAGGCAAATGGGTGAAAGGAAGATTTTTTTCTTCTCTCTAGCTCTGACTTCCAAACAAGTATTTTTGTTTCAAAGTCCTCCTACCAGGGAATCCTGAGAGGCACCAAAACGGGATATTCATTCTTCTTTACTGGTCAGAAAAAGACACAGACATGGGACGGACATGTTGATAGAAAAATAGGATAAACTTTTAATTCCCAGAATATCACAAATTCAACTCTGATGGTTACCCTTGGAAAATCGGGCATTTGGCAACATTTTAAGTTTTCAAAATCAATACAACGCTTATTCACATTTTTACCGGATCCAACAATGCTCACACATGCCAGAAGGCTGGGGCCACTGAGTTGGGCGGCACTGGCGACTGCCTGCAGCTAAACTCGGCTCAGCCACGTCCTCAGGGAACCATTCATGCCATGCGCTCCTTGAAGAACCATTTCTGATGATCTGAGTTGGAGCAGTCTCGCAGGAGGGGCACAAAACTGTTGCTGGCTTTCTTTTCAGCCTGGACACATTTCTTGGACTGTTGGTGAAATAACGAGCCATCCTACAAAAGATGACAGGTACTGGATGCTTAAGAGATATGTGAGTGATTTCTCAGCAGTCTCCTTGCATCAAGAGCCAGAGGTGTGATACAAATCATTTCAGGGATATTGACCTCAGGGGAATTGCTTCCACATAAAACTGGCTTGCTAAAATCACCTAAAAATGCTGGCAGCACCGGAGAGCACTACCTTTTGGGGGTCGGATGCTGCCCTCTGCTGGCTGTTCTGGGGAATCTCTCAGACCCCCAGTGTGGTCCCTGCAGCTTTTCCAGTTCTACAAGAAAACCAAAACAAAACTCCTTCATTGCCCTGTCACTTGAGTATCCTGGTTCCATTATTTCCTCCCTGGTGATTTATTTGTCTTAGGCATATTTTTAAATATTCACTTGCTTATTTGAGAGGAAGAGAGAGAAAGATGGCCAAGTGCCTGTCCACTGGTTCACTCCACAAACACCTGGTCGTTCAATTCATTCACTGCTGAGTGTAATATTCCTCTACAGAAAAACCTGGTACAACTAACTTCCTCGTAAGCTGCACAGAAGGCCCCTTTTATTCCAGAGACCAGGTTGGAAGGGAAAGGCTCCTAGGCAGACAAGGAAAAAAAAAAGGAAAGAAAGAAACTTGCCCTACTGACTCCCTTCCTTTGGACCAGGCTGCAAGTCCAACATGGGTTTGTTGCAAACGTGGCCCAGCACCCCATGTGAAATCCACAGAAACTTCAGGGAATGAAAGAGAAACTGACCGTGGCGTGAAAGTTTCTGCAGACTCTGCATACACATTGTCTTCAAAAAAGTGCATGTGAGGCAGGGGAGGGAGGGAAGTCACATATGCAAAACATGAGCTTCCAATTTGTTGGCAGCAAAAGAAACTTACATTCTTATTTCACTTTCTTTGCCCCATGAAGTTTTTGAAGTACCCACAAGCAGCCTTCTCGGTTTTCCAAGGAAGGCTCCAGTCTCCAGCCATCCACAGAGACCTCGCTGGAGTCCTCCAGTAAGGCTACTGCTTTACTGTGTTTAAGAGCTGGGCCCCACGAGGCTTAGAGAACAGGGAGGACTCCAGCCTAGCTCAGTCGCATGTTGGCCATGATGCCATTCATCCAAGCCCCACTTGGCAGCAAGAAAGAGGCACCTGGCAGAGCTCCGCTGCTGTCACAGCTTCTGCAGCTCACGGGGCAGTAGCAAAGGCAAGGCCTGGAAGGGACTCCACAGAGAGGAGGGAAGGAAGTGCCAGGATGCTGGCGTCAACCAGGGGGTTCCTACATTAACATCACTGTCCGGGACCCCAGAGGCCTGAGACTCACCAAGACGATGCCATGGAGGCTGTTAAGACTTCCGTCCCCTCCCTTACAGGACTGAGCCAGGGGAAGAGCCAGGAGAACACACTTACCTCCTGGAGCAAGAACTGCTGGTTCTCCGGGGTGGTGTCTTGGCACGGATGCATGACCAGAATGTCCTTGCCCACCTCCACCGCCACACAGCCCTCCGGCTGGTGGGTGTTATAGCGTATTTCCTTCTGGGATGTGTACTCAAAAAACTACAAAGGAAGCAGCCGACAGGTATCAGTTACCCACTGATGCAGAAGGAGGGAAAACAGGCTAGATGAGGACTGCGGTGGGCTGGAAATGGGTGGGGTCAGCCTCTGTTCTCACCACCAACACCAGGCCCTTGGGGCCTGATCACGCTCCCGTGGGCCTTACAACAGATGCAGCTGACCCCAAGGTGTGACTTACTGACTACAAATCAAGTGGCTTTTTCTAGCCTGAAGACAGGCTGGCACAGGTGCCTGTCCACCTGCCATGCTGAGCTGGTCAGCAGGAAAGTAAACAGTGCTGGGATTGGGGGATGCTCTGTAACCTCAAGTAGCCTTCCTCTTCTCTTCGCTACCCTTGTCCCCGATCAATGGCTCCTGTGACACCTGGAGTGTATGCAGTGCTGGGCATGAGCTGGCAGTCGCTGCAAATGAATGGGAGAGCTAGGCTCTTTAAAAACGTTTTATTCCTGGCCCCTCCTGAGACAGGATACAAAGAGTGCTTCTATCTGAGAAAGCTGAATGTTTGATAGTTTTAACAGGACACTCAGCCAGCCACCCCACCACCTACTTTCAGGGATATTAAGGCACACGGAGCAGTGCTTTGTGGCTTTGTGATGGAATGTGCTAGAACACTGAAGAAACAAGTGCCTGGGATCCCACAGGGCTGTGAGGTAGTTCTGAGTTCCCAGGGAATGCTGGGCACTCCGTCCTCAAGCGTGGGCAGAGTCTGGATAACTCAAGAGTGTGGGGGTCTGAGTGATGAAAGCCTGCCCTGTGACCCGTCATCCTCAGCATCCAAAGGGGGTTAGGCTAGATGTCTGTCTCATGGGCAACTCCTCCGGATGGCTAAATGAGACAGTCCCCAGCCAGCATATCTCCCATCTGCCCTGGGGTCCACCTACTCTCCTGGCTTGTGGAAGGGTGTAGAGTCCCACCCTGGCCCTCGGACCCTCCTCTCCCCGACTTCCCAGGACTGAGCTTGCCTTGAAGCCTGAAGCACACAGTATAGAACCCAGGAAGAACCGGCCCCACCCACCACTGCCCTCCATCACCTCTGTTGTCTGATCATAGAGCATCAAAACCTATGACTTCGTTTAGCAATTCTGAAGAACAGAAACATCAAGTGGAATGAACAGGCACAACAACAAGTACTTAAGGCACACTGTCAAGAGCCTGTGTGCACCAAAGGATGGGATGACAACCCTGTTCCTTTTTCCAGAGGTCTGAGTTCTGCCACCTGCCCAACGTGAGCACACCTGCTTTTACCATGAAAAACAAAAGCAAATGCTTCACGAGAAAGAACTCGCTCCTCTGTCCTTGGCCTGCTTTCCCTCCGTGGAGGCCACACCCACCTGGTTCTGGCCCATCCCGTGGCAGGTGTAGAGGATGACTTGGTGGCCCGTGATCTGGTTCTCATCGGGAGGGTTGTAGTCGAAGCAGTAGTCCTTCAGGCCTTTGTTCTGCAGCTGGGCACAGGAGAACAGTTGCCATCAGGAGGCCCAGACCAGCCCCCACCTTGGGCTCCCACAGGTGCCAGAGAACCAGACAGTGCAAAAGGGCCCCTGGCTGCCTCACACCCGTCCAGCTTTAAAGGTGCTTTCCAAGGGCAGGCATGGAGGTGCAGCGGGTAAAGCCACCACTGTAACGCTTCTGTCCCATATTAGAGGGCTGCTTTGAGAACCAGACACTTTGCTTCCAGTCCAGCTCTCTGCCAATGCACCTGGGAGGGCAGTGGACGGTGGTCCATTGTACTTGAGTCCCCTGCCATTCACCTAGGACATCAGGACGGAGTTCTCCTTGCCTCAGCTTGGGCCATTCTCTATTGCTTTCCCAAGCCCATGATCAGGAAGCTGGATCTGAAATGAAGCACCTGGGGACTTGAACCAGAATTTGAACCAGTACCCATATGGGATGCTGGTGCTCCAACCAGCAGTTTAACCAACTCCATCACAGCACAGGCACCTGAAGACTGTCACAGACCAAGAGAGATTTAGGAGACAAAACATCATTATCAAGCATAAAGCCCTACAGTGTGGCTATGAGTCTGGGTGCTTCCCAAAGACCTAAGTATAGGGGTTTGATTCTCAAAGACAAGACTTCATCATAGTGAATCACAGATAATGCTAATGGCTAACGAATGGAGTGCAGACTCAATCCAACGCAGTATCTGAAGGTTAGGAAAGTGATTGGGTCGGGTTGAACTTGCAGGATTGAATCCCACAATCAGACTCTGGTGCCCTGCTGGAGACCACACACATGTGGAAGATAATGCCCCATTTTGCTCCCAGCTTCCTGCCTCACTTCCTCTGTACATCCTTCACACTGCACCTGCCACCTTCACCAGACCCAAGACGAACTACTAACCACTCCACCGCCTTAAGCCAAAACAGATCTTTACAAGCAGCTTCCCTTGGGCATGAAAGTGACAGTGAACTAATGACAATGAATGACTTTGGATAGATGCTAGCTGGAATCAATCACCTGAAAAGAAATTTGAAAAACCGAGGCGCTCAGAATTAGAACTGGATAGTAAATGATACCAAGAAATTATTATTTATTTGATGAGATGGGATGATGATATGAGACTTTTTAAGGCAATATCCGAATGTTATAAAGACAAAATGTGTAACAGTAAGAATGAGACAACAGCTGGGTTTACCTAGAAAAGTGGAAAGCAGCCTAGAGAAGTGGGAAAAGCAAGAGAAGCATCGTGGTGTAGCATGTTACACTGCCGACTATGACGACAGCATCCCATCTGGGTGCTGGTCAAGGCCCCGTTGCTCCACTTCCCCTCCAGCTCCCTGCTAATATCATCTGAAAAAGCAGTGGAGGATGGCCCAAGTGCTAGGGTCCCCTCAACCACGTCGGAAACTCAGAAAAAGCCCCTGGCTTCAGCGCAGCCCAGGTGGGGATGAACCAATAGATGATTATTTCTCTTTGTTTCCCTCTCTCTGTGTCACAAAGACTTTCAGGTATAAAAATAAATCTTAAAACACAAACAAAAAAAAATCAGGCCATGGAACCATGAAGGAAGCCTCAGTTTCCTCATCTGTAAAACGGAAGGCTTGATCTTGCTCACTTCAAGATGGCATCCAGTTCTGACAGTTTAGCTCCAGGGACAACAAGGTGGGAGGATATGGGAGTGAGAGAGGCCAGAAGTGCCCACACGGCGGTCTGTGCTGCCCGGGGTGTGCTGACCAGCGTCGGAGGCCGTCAGAGCCCGCTGCACTCACCATGCCGAAGAAGCCGGGCCTGTCTTCGGGCACATGCAGCTCTGGATACACAGTCTCCAGGAACCACTTGAAGTCCTTACACTGGAGCTTTTCCCGGAGCTGCTTCCTCTCTGTCACATCCCCAAAGGGTTCCTAGGAATACAGCACTCCAGTGAGTCCCTGCGGGCCCCAGTGCTTCGTCTCCCAGCCCCTTATCTCCGATGCTCACTCCTTAACCCTGAGACCAGGGCTACCAATCACCCACAAAGGACCTTCGCAGCAGTCATGGCCCTACTTGGATGCCAAACACTTCCTGAGCTCTATATGTGGCTATGAACTTTCTGAAGACCCCTCACATCATGTGTCATTCCTGTACATGGCAAGGAGAGTCACAAAACAGCCTCAATTCCGGCTAACAGGAAAGGCTGTCACCAAGAGAATTGCAATCTCAGATGCTGTCACTCCAGGGAGGAGTGTACCACACTAAGGGAAAATGCACCTGCTGATGGAGCTAGACAGCCAAAAGCCCAGAGCCACGCTGGTGTCCCTGAACCTGTGTGTCCTCCATGAACCTCTGACCCCAGAGCTCAACCAGCGAAGCATCAGGTTCACCGCAACTTAGCCCATGGCATCACCATTAGTAAGTGAATATTCACTTCCAAACATGGGCACATATGTGATGGACTCAGCATGTTGATGTATCTATCCATGCATAATGATGGAGTTTGGAGCCAAATGCTCCAGAAGAAATACCTGGGGAAGTCTGGTCTTGTGCACAAAACCCAATGGGCACTTTCAGACAGTAATTAAGGAAAGCAAGCTTCTACTTACCACACCAAATGTGCAGCTATAAAATCAGTACCAAGTGCCAAGACCTGACTACCATGTACAACTGCAAAACCGGACAAGCAGGGTCAGGAAGTGAATGTTTGACTAAAACTCCAGACCCTGCTCATTTTCCCAGGAGTTCTCTCTTTGATGGAAGGCACCGTGACCTGCAGTCACTGGGCCTTCAGCCTGGAGGGACATTCAGGGCCCCTCTAGTTTGTCCTTCTGTAGGGAATCCCCAGTAATAGGAACGAGGGGGCTCCAGACACGCCTCAGGGAACAGCAGAGGTTCCTACTATGCAGCCTTGTGACTCTGAAGACCCAGAGGCAGAGCAAAACCCAGTGACCCCAGTGGTCAGACTGGGAGTCCCTGGCCTCCGTGGAGCACAGCGAGAAGCACCATGGGGGCTGACAGACCCTTCCTGTTGCATCTTCCTCCAATCTTTCTTTGTCAAGTTCCAGCTTTTTCATCTGCAAAATGAGACTTGATGGCTACCCTGCAGAGCCGCTGCAAGAGCTCAGGGGAGGTTTCTATCAAGTAGTCAGGTGAGGAGTCTTAGAGCAAGAACCTCATGCCGCCCAGTGGCTTGGTTAGACATGCAAATGCAGAACTCGTGGGATCTTGCCCAGGGCATACAGGGCTGGCCTGGGGCAGGCAGAACTGGCTGCCCAGAGGCAGTGGGTGCAATGCATCTTAATCCCAAGACCTTGTGGGAATGAAGATCTTGGTCTGTTCCTCAGGTAGGGGTAGAAAGTGTCTCTGGAGCAGACAGGAGGCCCTGAGATCCATCACCTGACAACAGCATGGCCTGAGAGCCAGTCACACAGGCTCCACGGGGCTTGTGCTAGTGTCAGGACAGTGTGCGGCAGCAAGCCAACAGCTGCAGCTCAGTGTTTGCAGGGACACGTCTGCTGTGTACAGACAGCCAATCCAGGTCGCTGGAAGAGAGCAGGGGCCCCTCCACAGTGTCCATGACATATGCAAAGGAAGTATGTAGGGGTGGTCTGGCCACTGTCTGGGTGTCCTCTGTCTGGGAATAGTCTGTGGGGGACCAGTAGGAACTCCATGGACAGACAAAATAGACCTTCTGCTCTGGTGTGCCGTCATTTGAAGGTCAAGGTCTGTGACTTATCTTGCACACTGAGTTGAAGGGTACAATCCTAACTGGCTGTACAGAGGGAAAAGCCAGACAGCAGCACAGTCAAGCCTTCTCCTTGGTCAATCTGTGTCTACAAACTTGCCTACTTGCTAACATTTAGCTGGAGCCCTCAAATCAATAGTTGGTCTGTTTTTGTATTTTCACAAGTATTCACAGACAAAAATCTGAAGTTGGCCAAAACACTTATGTTCCCAAGCAGGGTTGGACAGGACCACGCCTCGCCTCCCTGTCCCACCTATCTTAGTTCCCATACTGTAAGCCAGCATCTTCTCCAGTATCCACTGAGTGCTATGTTTGTCACACTTCTCCTGAGCTGGTGACTTCCGCAGCCTATTCATTCTAAAACAGCCTCTCTGCCACCCAATCTTAGTGCTGAAGTTCCCATACACAAGAAGCTTGGGTTTTGCCTTAGCCAACATGTATGTTGGGTCAGCCTCGTACTGTATGCCTGGTCTTGGGTTCAGTGTCCATGACTCAACAGCACATTAAATAAGTAGTCTTGGAATAGACACAGGTATAACTCAAGGTCCACGGACTGACCTGACTGTTGGGGTCTGCCCTTCATGGGAGCCTAATCTTGCACTTCTCAGAACAGCCGTGGCTCACTAATCCCACATCCAGTGTTACCAAACAGAACTGTTAAGGTTACTGAGTATTGGCTGTGCAGGACTGTCATCAACAGAGGAAGACAGCTTTCCCACACTTGTATCACTAGTGACTGGTCATGGCCCATTTCCAGAGCCAGGCCTGCCATGCTAGGAAGTCAGAGAAGGCATGCACGTTATGGGTGTATCGAACTTACCAAGCGGGCACGGGGGTTTCGATGGTAGTATATCTCCTTGAATTCATCCATCCACACTTCAGCTGCCCGGACACTGTTGGCCAGAGCCTTGCTACGGGAATAGGGTGCTTGCTTAGGGAACACATGGCCGACATGGGAACACGGGTGGGTCTCCAGGGTGCCCCCACACTGCCAGATCTGCACACAGAGCACAGAGGGGAGGCCAGACAGTGAGCATGAGAAGAGCCAGGAGGAATCCACAAGTCTAGAGCCTGGATGCTGGGCAGCTGGAAGTCACAGTGCACACACTGACTGCCCCGACCACGAGTCCCCACACGGGAGCACACTCCCAACACAGCATGCAGGCCAAGAGTAAGGAAGCAGCCCCCAACATGAGTGAACCCCCAGTGCATGCATTGGTGCTCATGCACTTGACTCAGCCACCTTGCCGTAACCCAGGCTTGCAGGACAGGGAGCACGGGCTTGGTTACCTGGTCTCCTAATCACAGAAGATAGGAAAGCAGCAAGGAGGAGGGAGGGTGTGAGAGGGGGAAAGGAGGAACTTGTAGAGGTAGGCAGAGCAGCCTGACACCTAGGGGAGAGGCAGAAGCAGAAAGAGCATTAAAGTCACACCCACGGCTCAAGGGGAGGTCAGTCAATCTGTTACTCGGGGCCACTTCATGCTGCAGCCAAGTGAACGCCCCTTTGTCCCACGGACAGCGCACCCAACAGTAGCATCTGGTACTTATAATGGAGGGTGTGCGTTCCTGGTGGAAGGCCAAAGTCTTGTTTGCTTCTTCGTTGTGTGAGAATGGGACACCAGAAAAATGTTATTAAAAAAAAAACCTTAATTTTCCCTTCTCTCACACACACACACATTTATAAAAGCTGTTCTTCCTTTCTCTATTTGATTAGAGATAGAAATTCTGTCTGCTGGTTCACTACTGCAATTTTCACAATAGTTGGAGTGTGGGGATCGAACTTGGGACTCCTGTGCGAGTGGCCAGAACCCCGTGACTGGAGCCACCACGGCCGCCTCCCAGGGTCTACATTAGTAGGAAAGCAGGCAGAGAGCACGGGTTCCCCAGAGTACAACGTGGACATCCCAAAAGGCAACTTAGCCACCAAAGCAAACATCTGCCCCTCCGCAAAGTTTTGAGACACAAAATGAAAGATTCTGTTAACTGGAAAATATGCAGAAATGTTAAGGATTTTTCAAAGGGGCTCACATAGAAGGCCACATTTGGCAGAGCTGGTGGGGAAGTGAGGAGGGTTTGTTCAAAGGTCCTTGAGTCAGCCTATTCACACGCCCAAGTCTGAAAGTCACCGGTTAAATCAGAAAGTGACTTCCTAAGTCTAGTCAAATGCAGGCTCCCAAAGGAGGGATCCAGGGATGATCCAGGGTCAGCCACTAACTCTGAGCGACCTGGGACAAGCCACAGCCCTCTCTTGGCCTCAGTGCCTGCCCTCTGCAGAAGCAGACAACTGGATGACTGACAAGGCCCTCCATCTATCAAAAAGTATATATTGCTTAAAGTTGAGATAAGAAGTCCAGTGTGTTTATAGGACATGTGTGTAGTTATCATCTCTCAGGATCATAGGATAAACTGACAAAATGCTGGAAAGGCCCAGGAGGCTCCCAAAGCAAATGTCATCAGAGAAGGAGAGAGAGAGAGACTCCGGCTAGTGAGTCCCAACAGAAGACTGGAACTTACCCTAAAGGAGAATTCGAGGTTTTCTCCTCCCCAAACTTCCATTCCTGTATCATAAGACCCCAGGTACTCAAAATATTTCTTACTCACAGCAAACAGTCCACCAGCCATCGTTGGAGACCTAGGAAAGCATGAGATGCACACTTCAGGGTGGGCAGTAGGGAGCCAGGCTGGAACAACCAACCACCTGCCTGCCTCGTACCATACTCAAGCTGGGCCGGGAGGTATTGCTAAACCCCCAAGACCTGTCTTGAGGAGGCCCATGGACATCTCAACAAGCAAGCTCTCTGTGTGGGATGCCCCACTGGGCACAGCCAGGACTTTGGGAACCCAGAAGAGTGTGGGGCTGGGGAGGGTGGGATTCCATGAAAGAGGTGGGCCCGCAGGACAGTAGGTGCTAGAGGGGACAACTCTGCAGCAGCAGTCCAGCAGGAGTGACAGCCAGAGGGAGGGCAAAACCCCCACTCCTTCTGGGACTACAGAGCAAGGAAAGCCAACAAGACAAGAGGCCAGGGTTCCCCCGGGCAGGGGTCAGCAGCCTCATGGAGTGGGCACCCACAGGTGCCACCTACGGTACTGAACACAGAGCTGCAAAAAGCAACTCAGGCACCACACCCAGCGTTCCAGGGCACCAGGACCCCTCCGGCTTTCTCCCTGCCATGGTGGTCCAGAAGCCAACACCAGCACCATAAATAGTCCGACTTCCATCCTACCACACTGCTGTACCAATCTATAATCACGGGGGCTACAATGAAGTTTCACAAAAACAGTCTAGAAAAGAAAACAGAGGGTGGCCAGGCTCACCACCAGCCCCTGCCTGGGGGAGTGGAGGTGGGAGGTGAGGTGAGGGGGCCCTGGGGCAGGCAGGCAAGCTGACAGCTCTCCACCAGCCCCTCTCCCTGGGGTCATTGTGGACATGACAGCAAGATCCCATGAGCCCCTAGAAGCGGAGGCTGACCTGATGACGTCGATGGGGGAACGCATCTGCAGCCTCTCCCTCTCGGGAACCACATGCCACGTGAACACCAATCTCCAGTCGAAGCCCCCAATCTGGGGCTCCCCGGGGTTCCCCAGGTACTCAAAAGTGTTCCAGTCGATCACATCGATCACGGGGCACACCACTGCCGACTCCTTTTCATGGATCCTGCAATATCCAAGACATCCATGGTTCCTACCTGGACAGCTAATAAATGCAAAGATGTATGCCCAGCAGCCTTCTCTGGGAAGGAGTAGCGCTATCTGAGAAAGGCCAGCTTCCCTTATCCAGGTGACTGCGCCATATCATGGCCCTGGCAGGCAACGCTAACCAGGAAGGCGATGGAGACTAATACAAAAGGTGCCAGGGATCTGACACTCTATGAACTCAGGCTATACAATCAGACTGGCTGGCCCATGGCAGCCCACCTCATCCAAAAGGGAAAACTAAGGGAGGCCAGGCTAACATTGGAACTCGGCTCTGAGTCAAGGGTAGAGAACGCCATGTCCTTGGGGGATGCTCTTGGCACCTGGGGCAGAACCATATTTTATAAATTAACTTATTTGTTGGAGACAGAGAGCTTCCTTCTGCTGATCCACACCTCTGAGGTCTGCAAGGGCCATCAGCTGGAGTGAGGACCAGGAGCAAGGGACTCAGTTCAGGTCTTCCATGCGGGTGGCAGGAACCCGGGGACAGTCATGGCTGGACCTCCCCAGGTCTGGATAAGATGAAGCCAGAATCAGGAGTCAGAGCCAGGTCTCTGACCTAGGCATCCCAACAAGGGATGAGGGCATCTTAGCCACCATGCTAACTATCTGTCCCCTGCACGCTGCAGAATATTCACTCCACATTCCTGGCATACAAGGAGCCAGCAGCACTACCTGCTTGGCCTGATGACCAAGAACACTTTTCTACATTTCCAGAGTTGCTCAAATCCAAAGCATCTTAGTTCTGGTACACACTGGGAAATTTCTGGGACACTCCAGAAAAATTCCAGAAGCCTAGGTCCCACCTCCACAGAAAGATCCAAATGGTCCGTGAGGACTAGGCATTGGGAAAGCTCCAAATCCCAAGTACAGGTATGGGGCAAGGTCATGGTGATGGGGAGGGCAGGTAGCTGAAGGATCCCAGGTGGCATCTGCAGGAGGAGAGATGTCCTCCCCTCGAAGACACTGGAGAGGCAGAATCAGACCAGGGAGAGGGAGAGTGAGGGAGTGTGGGAGGGAGGGAGTGAGGGATGTGGGAGTGTGGGATAGTGGGGGAGTAAGGGAGTGAGGGAGTGAGGGAGTGAGGGAGTGTGGGAGTGTGGGAGTGTGGGAGTGAGGGAGTGTGGGAGTGAGGGAGTGAGGGAGTGAGGGAGTGAGGGAGTGTGGGAGTGAGGGAGTGAGGGAGTGTGGGAGTGAGGGAGTGAGGGAGTGAGGGAGTGAGGGATGTGGGAGTGAGGGAGTGAGGGAGTGTGGGAGTGTGGGAGTGTGGGAGTGAGGGAGTGAGGGAGTGTGGGAGTGAGGGAGTGTGGGAGTGTGGGAGTGAGGGAGTGAGGGAGTGAGGGAGTGAGGGAGTGTGGGAGTGAGGGAGTGAGGGAGTGAGGGAGTGTGGGAGTGTGGGAGTGAGGGAGTGAGGGATGTGGGAGTGAGGGAGTGAGGGATGTGGGAGTGAGGGAGTGAGGGAGTGTGGGAGTGTGGGAGTGAGGGAGTGAGGGAGTGAGGGAGTGAGGGAGTGTGGGAGTGTGGGAGTGAGGGAGTGAGGGAGTGTGGGAGTGAGGGAGTGAGGGAGTGAGGGAGTGAGGGAGTGTTTGAATGAGGGAGTATGGGAGTGAGAGAGTGTGGGAGTGAGGGAGTGAGGGAGTGAGGGAGTGAGGGAGTGTGGGAGTGAGGGAGTGTGGGAGTGTGGGAGTGAGGGAGTGAGGGAGTGAGGGAGTGAGGGAGTGAGGGAGTGAGGGAGTGAGGGAGTGAGGGAGTGTTTGAATGAGGGAGTGTGGGAGTGAGGGAGTGTGGGAGTGAGGGAGTGAGGGAGTGTGGGAGTGTGGGAGTGAGGGAGTGAGGGAGTGTGGGAGTGAGGGAGTGAGGGAGTGAGGGAGTGAGGGAGTGAGGGAGTGTTTGAATGAAGGAGTATGGGAGTGAGAGAGTGTGGGAGTGAGGGAGTGAGAGAGTGTGGGAGTGAGGGAGTGAGGGAGTGAGGGAGTGAGGGAATGTGGGGGTGAGGGAGTGAGGGAGTGTGGGAGTGAGGGAGTGAGGGAGTGAGGGAATGTGGGGGTGAGGGAGTGAGGGAGTGTGGGACACAGTGAGGGAGTGAGGGAGTGTGTGAATGTGGAGGTGAGGGAGTGAGGGAATGTGGAAGGGTGAGGAAGAGCAAAAGCTGTCGGGCAGTGGCTGGCTGCCTCTAGAGAAGTCATTTAGGAGTTAGGAGCTGAGTGAGTGGCAAAGGAAACTGCCTTGGAAATGGGGCCTAAGTATGGCTTCTGTGGACCCACTGCTCCACAAAATATGAATATGCAGAAAGGGTGAGAGAGGACACTTTATGACAGGGCAGTATAAAGACAACATAACCCAGGCCTGATTCATTATGAGACTTGTGATTTTGATAGTCCTTTTTCTGCCTTTATGAATCTAAAAAAAAAAATTCACACCAAACACTCACATGCCCTGGGTCCCAGCCCCTGTGCTGGCTAACCTGCAATGGATAAAATCACATCACACCATGTATCCCTCGGGGGTGGTGCTCCAAGACTCACAGTGATGTCCCTTGTGGGCTGATGGCACTGAGTCTTCTGTGACAAACAGGTGTAAGAACTAATAAAAGTCAATAGCAACCCTAGGCACCGAGCTGGCCACCAGCTCCCACAGGTGGGCACGTGCTGGGCACATTCACACATCCAATCACTGAGGATTCCCCAGCCCAATGCAGTAGATGTGGTCGGCACACCCATGACAGCGGAGTTGCCCCAGGGGTCTCTGATGCCAGGCACCAGATGATCTCACAAGCCAGCACCCTGAGCTTGTCCCTCCCTGTGGGGCAGCCCACGTACCTCTGTAGCAGCGGCTCCAGCCAGCCCTCATGGCATTCGCAGTGACAGTCTAAGAAGGTCAGCACGTCCCCCTTGGCTGCCGAAGCACCCAACAGCCGTGCTCGCACCAGGCCCTCCCTCTTGGTGGCCCGGATCAGGCGCACCCTGGGCAGGCCTGACAGCTCGTTGGCCAGCCGCTCCTTCAGGTGCTCTGGGGAGGCAAGCAGAGAGGGCAAGGGTTACTGCCATTGTGTTGGCAGAACACCCCTTCCCAAGCTACCTCCTGTCCCCAGATACAAGCCTTCTTGGCCTTGTCACCTGGGACTGTCCTCACCTGTTCTAAATCCAAGGTTGGAAGTGTCCTGAAGGATTTCAAAGAGTCCATCAAAATACACACATGGTTTATTATACACTCCGCTGGGTGAGCCTATGGTATGTGAATGCTCTCAACAGAGCTGTTACCATAACATTCTGTGGTCTGAGTAGTGAACACTTAACAATCACACACACACAGGGACCAGCGTTGTGGCTTAGCTAGTTAAGCTGCTGTGATACCAGCAACCCCTATTGGAGCACTGTTCTAGTCCCAGTTGCTCATTTCCCTGCCATGCACAGCTCCCTGCTGATGTACCTGGGGAGGAAGCACCAAATGGCCCAAGCACCTGGTTCCCTACCACAGGGGAGACTCAATGCAGTCCCTGGCTCTCAGCTTCAGCCTGGCCTGGTCTTGGCCTATGTAGCCATCTGGGGAGTGAATCAGAGGAGGAGAGATCTTTTTCTTTCTGTCTTCCTCCTCTGTTCTGTCACTCTGCCTTTCAAATAAATAAATCTTTAAATAAAGTAACAGAAACCATCCTATAATAATGTTTATTTAAAAAGGAATCACATTCATATAAGTGTCCCCAGGGACCCTACAGAGTGTACAGTAGTAACAACAGTTGCAGCTGCCCCAAGAAAGCCTACACTTGGCCTAAGTGACTTACAAATGGCTCTCCAAGTACCAGGACAAGCTGAGGAGGTAAGTGCTGGCATCATCCCCATTTTACAGATGGGAACACTGAGTCCTGAAAGGCTAAGCCACCTGCCCGAGGTCACAGGGCACATCAGCCAAACAGCCTCACTTTGAGCCAATCGATTGGCTACAGATTCCACTGGTGAATGCTGCGGTTCACAGCTTTCTGCTGCCACTTCTCATTCTTATTAAACACGGAGAAAATGTGGCCAGCTGTGGGACAGGGGATGCGCTGGAAGCCTGCTCCCATGAAGAGCCCGGCCCCAGCAATCCCGACTCTGCAGGTGAGGCTGAGACTGGACGCCATGTGCCGCTTCTCCCGGAGGGAGTCAGGTGGCAACCAGTGAGATCCCACTCAGGTGAAACAAAAAGAGACTTCCCATATCCACTGGGGCTTCAGTTCCATGTTCTCAACTGCCAGCCAAGGGGAATATTCATTAAAACCTTTTTAAAAAGAAGGGTGTGGGCCCAGCTACCGCCTAGTGCCTGGAGTCCTTGCTTTGCATGCATTGGGATCCCCATATGGTCACCAGTTCTGGTCCTGGCAGCCCCACTTCCCATCCAGCACCCTGCTTGTGGCCTGGGAAAGCAGTCTTGGAAAGCCTTAAAAAAAGAGGGGTGCTTCCTACTGCAGGAAAATATTTCTTGGATCATCCCAACTCTTTTCTTTTCTAAAGATTTATTTTATTTTTATTGCAAAGTCAGATATATAGAGAGGAGGAGAGACAGAGAGGAAGATCTTCCATCCAATGATTCACTCCCCAAGTGTCCGCAACGGCTGGTACTGCACTGATCTGAAACGAGGATCCAGGAGCTTCTTCCATGTCTCTCATGTGGATGCAGGGTCCCAAGCCTTTAGTTCGTCCTCGACTGCTTTCCCAGGCCACAAGCAGGGTGCTGGATGGGAAGTGGGACTGCCGGGATTAGAACCGGCGCACATATGGGATCCCGGTGCTTTCAAGGCGAGGACTTTAGTCACTAGGCCACTGCACCGGACCCTGATCATCCCAACTCTTAAAAGTGCTGGTTGATTTTTTTTTTTAAACCTAAATATAACTGCAAATAAGCTGAAGGCAGGAGTGAAGGGAGGCAGCTTTGTAAGCAAAGCGAAGCTGGCTACATGAGGAGGATGAGTTTGCCAACCTCATTTTCTGTCTGCCCAAGTGGCCCACCTGCACCTGCAGGGATGCTCCCAGCCCTGACACTGCAAACAAAGCAGAACTGCTCCACTTACGGCTCCCCTGCTTCTACAAGTCCATCCACGGCAACAGGTGGACAGGAGGACCCAGCTGTGACAGACAGGACCGTGCATGCCTGCCGCTGAGGTGCTGTTTATTCCTCAAATGACCACTTGACGCTGACCACTGAATGGACCGGTCTGTAGCATGGCGCTGTGCACTGTGCTCACCTGAAGGTTTTCAAGGTGTTTCAGGAGGCAAAGTTATCAGTGAAGCACATGTAACTCACTGCCAGGTATTAACCCCACACCCAACCTGTCTCCCTTAACTCACTTCGTCCTCACTGGGATGCTATGAGGCAGGATCTGTGATGACTTCCATTTTACAGTGGGGGAGAGCCCCGCTTGAGACTGGCTAAGACTGTCTGCTGCCTGGAGGTACAGGAATGGACGTACCCCAGTATGGACATCTACACTGACAGTTAAAACACCCCACCCCTGGAGGACCAGACAATGGGAAACACAGAGGAGCACCTACTATGTGCTGGCCACTACGTGAGGCTCTGTCCTACACACCATCTCACTGATGCCTCACCACAGTGCAGACAGAGGTGGATACACCCCTGGTGGGAAACTGAGGCAAAGTCAGCTGCCTTACCCACAGTGTTACCCGCAGGCCATAGTAAAGCCTCCCTCAGACTTAGGGGCCCTCCCCCCAGAACCCTGTGCCCAGGAGGCTTCCCATGGCACCAAGCCCCAGCCTGACCTGCACACCGCATGGGACATTGCTCCCATCCCCTGCCTCTCACACCCTGTGGGTTCTAGCTGAGCAGCGTCCACCATCCCGGCCTGGGTTTCCGCGTTAGAGCCGTGGTGTAACAGGGTTATTTCTTTTCTGTGTGACTCACAATCCCAATCACACATCCCACAAGGGCACCTGGATGCCAGCTTCAAGGCTACATGGGCTGCCTCAGAGCTGGCTCCACAGGCAGGAACTGCCAATCCCAGGGGGAACAGCGGGATGGAAAGTGGGCTGCAAACAAGGTCAAGGTAGTCAGCAAGCCCACCATCCTACCTGTCATCACGTCCTTGCTATCTCCCTTCGTGCACACTGAGTGCCCCCTGAGGCTCATGGCCCAACATGCTCTGGCTGACTTCATGATGGACATGCCCACCAAGTCCCTCCCAAGCCAAGGCTCTATGGGTGGGCCCTGCCCCCACTCTTGCCTCCAGCTCTGGGCTCAGCACCAGTGACCATTCTCCACGCAGCAGGCCAGGGAGCTCCCCATACCAACCCTGATCTTCCCGCACCCCCTAACACCTTCTGCTGGCTCTTGCTGGATTCACACTGAAGCCCCAGCCTCTTGGGGTGACTTCCCAAAGCCCTATGTGATCTGGCCCTGGCCATATTGCACCCTTACCACCCCAGGTCACTGTCCCACTGGCTGGTGTGCTGGTCAGTCCAAGGGAATTCTTTGTTCACTATAGTTGCTGCATTTCTGGGGTCTGTGATGGTCATCCCAACGTCTCCACTGAGCCCAGGTGGGATACAGGCAGCCTGTCTTCAAAGGCCAATCCCACCCTCCTACATCCCACTCTCTCCTCGGAAGGAGAGGCCTCCCCAGAACCCACGCTGGGACACTACCTCTGTCGCTGTAGTCATCCACCAGGATCACCTCCTCCAGCAGGACATCCGGGGACGTCTCAAGCACGCTGTACACTGTCCGGAGGAGAGTTGACCAGGCTTCGTTGTAAAACGCTATGATGACAGATGTCTTGGGCAGGTGATCGTAATCATATTTCACCTCCTTGCACCTGCAGAGATGACACACTTCAGCATTTGAGAGCCCAGGACCGGCTAGCACTGGGGATCAAGCCAGACCTGCGACAGGTGCTAGGGGATTCCAGGGCTGCCCCGGGGGAATGGGAGGTGATCTGAAGCAGGTATGCACTGCGTGCCACTAGGAGCTTCCAGAAGATTCTAAAAAGGTCCTAACCTTAATGCACAACAAGCTGTGACTGTGGGGTGCTGTTTTGAGGCTTTAAAGCAGTTTTTCAGATTTAAGCCACATGCAGATTAGACTGATCAGAAGGGAGGGGGTAGTCACCTATTCCCCTCCCTCAGCAGCTCTCCTCTGTGACCACCCATGCCAACCCCTCTGCCTGTAATGCCTTTTCTTTCCTTCTCTGCTGGCCAAACACTCTGCCCTCTTTGGGGGCAGCTCAGCCCTGTGTTTCTCTAGGAAGTCTCTGGACCCTTCATCCCAGCAACTGCCACTCACCACAGTGTCTGGCTCCATGCCCTGTCTCCCAGAGACCAGCTGAGCCTGTGCCTCACACATGGGGCCACTGACTCCCTGGTATGGAACTGTGGCCAAAAAGAACATCCCGGAAGGACTCTGCAAAGGGCATGGCCAGGGACTCAACCTCCCTTCGTCCCAGGGTACCATAATGTGGCAGCTGTGGGTTGAGGTGGGGCTAAGTCCTGATTGGCAGTGTCGGGAACCAATGCGCTCCCTCTGTTTAGGGTGTGCAGGTTCCCTGCTGACAGCAGAATCCCTGGCCGGCACAGGATTCCACCCTCACAGCCACCGATGATAAGCTCTCAGCAGTGGCACCAGATTAAGCACAGGGTCTGCTTCCTGCGTATCAGCAGGAGGCAGCCAAGGGCAAGATGCAGGAAGAGCAGACACAGCGAAGGCAGAGTGAGCGCTGGGGCTGACCCTCACTGTTTGAGAATGGGATACCCTGTGTTAGTGCAGCCAGATCACCTGGGCAGCTAGGGTGAAGCCTGCCAGATGGGTTGGACAGAGCAGAGGGCAGCAGAAGAGGCACAGAGCGGGTGGCACAAATATCTGACAGCTATGAGTCATGAGCCCTTTATCAGCCAGGGACCCCCTGGTTCCTGATTACCTATAAAGTACCAGGTAGAGAGTCCCTGTCCCCAGGGAGCCTGCCCTCAACGGGCCAGTCGGGTATCACCAAAAGTGACCCATGCTGTGAGCAAAACAGGAGGGGAGGCAAGGAAGGGTGACCACGGACACAGTGGACACAGCCAAGAGGAGCATCCTCAGCCAGGAAATCCCAGAGGGCCTCTCTGAGGAGGTGACATTTAGGATGAAAGTAGAATGATTACATCCAGTTCCGAGAAAAGCCCTTCCCATACACAATCACTTTTTGTTCCCTCCCTTTTTGTTTTACCATGATAACTTTGAAAACATAGGGAGAATAAGAAACTCGTGGGGATCCATTAATAACTCAATGCTTCAATCTTGCTTCAACTATGTCGTATCCACTTCTCTGATCTAAGATTCTTTAAAAAGAGAATCCAATATACCACAACATCTATGAATATTTCAATACACGAAGCAGACTGGTCTAGTAGTTACGACACCCACATTCCACATCAGAGCACCTCACATCTCAGTTCTGCCCCCAGATTCCAGCCTCCTGTTACTGTGTACCCAGGCAAGCTCAGGTAATTGGGACCCTGCTGCCCATGTGGGAAACCTGGATAGAGTTCCCTGCCTCTCAAAGAAATAAAAATGGTAAGAGTAGAAATTCGTTGTTATATATATATATATATATATATATATATATATATATACATATATAAATGTCCTGAGCCTGGTACAGTAGCCTAGCGGCTATAGTCCTTGCCTTGAATGCACTGGGATCCCATATGGGCACTGGTTCTAATCCTGGCAGCCCCGCTTCCCATCCAGCTCCCTGCGTGTGGCCTGGGAAAGCAGTCGAGGATGGCCCAAAGCCTTGGGACCTTGCACCCACATGTGGGAGACCTGGAAGAGGCTCCTGGCTCCTGGCTTCAGATCGGCGCAGTTCCAACCGATGCAGTCACTTGGGGAATGAATCATCCAATGGAAGATCTTCTGTCTCTCCACCTCACTATATATTTGACTTTACAATAAAAGTAAATAAATCTTTTATTTTAAAAAAAATCCTGAATTTGCAAACTGCATCACTGGATAAGGAATGTCTTTGTTCTTGGAAAACACGCCGATGTTATGTACAGAAAGGACTGTAGCTCCGGATCTCTGAGCAGGCGTTCCAGTGTAGAAGGCTCACAGAAGGGGCACACACAGAGATGGCGGTGTGGATCTCAGTGGAGCATTTACAAGAGTTTGCTGTGCCTTTCTTACATGTTTTCTTCCGGTTCAAATACTTTCAAAGTAAAAATTTAACACATAAAGAAGAAACAATGCTTCCATAATGAAATTCTAGTCCATAGACCCATACAGGCTGAGCATCCCTAGCCAAAAATGCAAAATGCACTAAAATCCATAGCTTGTTGAGGGCTGACACAAATGCCACAAGTGGAAAATTCCAACACCTGACCTCAGGTGATGGGTCACGGTCAAAATGCATGAATGACAAAAACATTGTGTAAAAATGACCTTCAGGGCCCGGTGCGATAGCTTAACGGTTAAAGTCCTTGCCTTGAATGTACTGGGATCCCATATGGGCGCAGGTTCTAATCCCGGCAGCTCTACTTCCCATCCAGCTCCGTGCTTGTAGCCTGGGAAAGCAGTCAAGAACAGCCCAAAGCTTTGGGACCCAGTATGGGAGACCTGGAAGAGGCTCCTGGCTTCAGATTGGCTCAGCTCCAGCCATTGCGGCCACTTGGGGAGTGAACCATCAGATGGAAAATCTTTCTCTCTGTCTCTCCTCCTTTCTGTATATCTGCCTTTCCAATAAAAATAAATAAATCTTTTTTTAAAATGACCTTCAGGGGCCCGGCGCGGTGGCGCAAGTGGTTAAAGTCCTCGCCTTGCACGCCCGGGATCCCATATGGGCGCCGGTTCTAATCCCGGCAGCCCCACTTCCAGCTCCCTGCCTGTGGCCTGGGAGGGCAGTCGAGGATGGCCCGGGGCTGTGGGACCCTGCACCCGCGTGGGAGACCCGGAAGAGGCTCCTGGCTTCTGATCGGCATAGCATCGACCGTTGCGCTCACTTGGGGAGTGAATCATCGGATGGAAGATCTTCCTCTCTGTCTCTCCTCTCTGTATATCCACCTTTCCAATGAGAAAATAATAAAAATAAATCTTTAAAAATAAAATAAAATAAAATAAAGCTGTTAAAGAGAGCGATGCAAAAAAAAAAAATTGACCTTCAGTTTATGTGTGTAAGGCTTCCAGAATACAAAAACAAATTTCATGTTTAGACTTGGATCCCCCTGCCAAGATATCTCATTAGATAGATGCAAATACATAATGTCAAATACAAATACCGAAACTATCTGAAATTTGAAACACTGATGGTCCCAAGCATCTCTGATATGGGACACTGAACCTGTATCTGAATCTTAGGGAACCTTACATATGCCCTCCCCAATCTCATTCTTTCCTCATCCCTGCCAAAACAGTCCCGCCCTCTCAAATACAGCACATGGGTGTGTGTACAAAAGTACTCATATGTGTCCACAGTATTAACACCCTGGATACGAGGCATAAAGCAAAAACCTGGGTGGTGCTAACTGTGCCCGAGGAGCCTCAGAGGCCACTGACATCTGAAGAGGGAAAAAGATACAGCTAAAACTAGAAAGGAAAAATAAGGATGGCAATATTTTCAAAGGGAAATTCACTCAATGTGAAGAACCATCTTCACTTCTGCATCCTTACTGTTTTGGGTCAAAGTGTATCTCTCCTCTGTTCAAACAAGTAGACCCAGGGTGGTACGTCAGCACTCTCTGTCTTTCCGCTGCCCTGTGAAACCAAGGGAAGCGGACACTGTGCCAGAATGCCAACGAGAGAACTTCCTCTGGGTCATCACATGTTGTAACCTTGCTTCAGCAACACCTACCCAGAGTTTCAGTGTCCACCTTCTTGGGGGTTGGCATTGTGGCACAGTGGGTAAAGCCACCAAGTGCAATGCTGGCGTCCCACAGCAGAGTGCCTGCCGGTTCAAGTCCCAGCTGCTTCACTTCCAACCCAGCTCCCTGCTAAGGAGCCTGGGAAGGCAACAGATGACAACCCTGACACTCACGTTGTGGGAGACAGGGATGAAGACCCAGTCTCCTGACTCAGCTTGACTCAGCCCTGCATACCCTGAAGCCAGCTTACTGTCAAAACTCTCCTTTTGACACTATTTATAACCGTAAAAAACTGTAAGTAATATCAATGTCCAATAAAGAAGAGGAAAATTCTAACACAGCTGTATGAAGAAATATAACACATCCATCAAAAGCATCATCTTCAGGCCATCCGATGATAAAATACAGTGATTCTAGCAGATTCAGTAACAGTCCTCTATAAGTAACCAGTTCTATAAATAACAACATGTGTGCAAGCGTGCTTACCCAAACAATAAATAGAATACATTACAACATTTTATCTCTGTGAGAGGATTGCTGGGTCTTGTATTTTCTGAGTATTTCAATTTTATTTTGTAATGTCTGCCCTGGAGAACTGCTCCACAGTGGACATGCAGGCTTTTTCCCATCACAAATACAGATTACTTTGGCATAGTTCAGTCCTATTTCTTTAGCTCCCCATAGATAGCAAACACTCCCACTGAGCCACCACTTAGCATGGTGTCCCCTCCTCTGCTCTCCGCCAGGGACCATCTGTGCTTCCTCCTTCAAGCCTCCCTGAAGAAGCCCCACACATTCTCCCAGCATGACTGTGAGCTTGCCTCACCACTGTTTTCTCTGGCTTGTGAAAGCTGTTTCTCCCTGGATGAGATAAGGCAGCCCAGCCCTGCTCCAGGCTCCATCTCTTGCCTTGGCTAATCCAGCAAGGGTTTGCTCACTCGGTTACCTTCTCACCACCATCTCCACGTGGCACTGACTGCTTCTC